TGGTCTATTGGCAAGTAGTCTGGTAGCGGTGTTCATAGTTCAGCTCAACTCGACACCACGCTACAAACCCATCGATTAATACAAATACAACAATAATACCCCAATGTTCATATAATTTTGGTGAAAGTAATAAAAATACAATGTGTTACACATTTACAAACATAAACTTAATGTTAATATTTTCCTTTCAGGAAGGTTATCATGCCGCATAATGAATCTGAATACTCGGTTGTTAAAGTCTATTAGGGTATGACTATATAAATGTGAAATGATCTACAAATCAATTGCAGATAACAACTCTGTATGAAACTGTCTCACTACACCTATAATAGGCTCATTTACATTAATGTATATTATCTCGAGCTTATTAGTTTTGGCGTGCAGTATGTTAAGTAGACTTTCCTCGAAAAGTATACGGTAATATTTATGTGCTAGGAATGCATAATGTATGCAATTCTGAGTCCAACGGCTGCTTACATGGTCGATAGCTCAAATTTTGATGAGTAGAAACCACGTTAATTAAAAATCACAACTTATGAGAGTTGATGAATGTTATTTATGCTTAGGGAAAGAATTGAGGGAGAGACTCTAATTTATGGGCGAGCTAATCAGAAGCGTTTGAGGGATTTCAAGGTCACGGCACTAACTTTAGTGCTTAATGCTAACGTACAATCGGTTCACAGGGAATTTTGTACAAAACGTGATAATTGAGCGGCTATAACAAATAAAACGGCGAGACTATAATTTGTGGACGAATCAATCAGCTATAAAGTAACAGATCTCGGGTTTTGGCCCCAAAACCTTTCATCCATTTGGCCAAATAGATGTCTGGCATTATAGCTGATGCCAGTTGGTGCCGAAAACCCTATATATAATTCATAACTGAGGCAAGTTATGACAATTATTGCGAACTGGATAATAAAAGCACCAGTAACACTGGCTGCAGCCAGGTACTACAATATATACGGATGTTTGGAGAGAGACTCCTACATAGGCTTGGTTATGTGCATCGTGTCGTTATCCACAAGTAGCATTTTGTGAACTCAACAACAGGAGTGCACATAAACAATATTGAAGCTATGTGGTCGAGGCTGAAAGAGATTTTGAGACTTTATCATGGCTCCAGCGGCCGGCTATTCTGTAGACATATGGATGATTTCCTCTACGATTTTAGAACCTCTGAACCTCTTCCTAACCTTGTCAAGTTTTTGAACCATGTAAAAGAAATGTATACACTTTATTGCTTTGGTTTTGTACAATATATTTTTACTCTATATTTACTGTTTTCTGATTGACTAATATTTATCAAGGTCACTTGAGATTCGTTCAAAGGTCGTCCATAAATTATATTCTCGCCATTCATATTTTATCTTTTTAGGCTTTATAATGTGCACATTCTCCATAAATTTTAGATCGATAAGAGGAAAGTTATTTATTTTAATGCTACATATGTCATGAGAAAATGAGGATATCTTACTCCAGATACATAGTTGCATTATTGTGGTATTTGTACGAACTGATGACTCTTTTGTACTTGATTGTTCACTGATTTCGAATCCCCAACATAAACGAACTAAGCTTCTAAATGTAGGATAAAATTGATCACTTTTCGTAATTTCACTAAAAATTTGGAGGGAAGGTTATGAAGAGCCTCTAAATTTTTACAGTTCTGGAATTCTTAATGAAATGATTTCTACATTTGTTCACGGTTTGTGAATGCACGTCCAGTCCCCTAGATAAAATCAGAAAATGTTGACTGTATCTGGAATTTCAAACCAAAGTTTCCAAATGACGTTTAAAATGTACTCGAGAACCTGGCTGAAAATCGAACAAAGTTGTCATTTTCTTACAACGAACTTTGTATAGTTAGTAAACTATTTTCACACTGGCGCATCGGAGTTTCAACAAAAACATAACGTAATTGTAACAGACTACAGAACAAAACAGCATCGACTACGACACACGGAGATACCACAAATAGGACACACTCTGCTACTCTGTTTACATAGACATCTAATCCGTGGGTGTGTTATCTCTCCAGCTAAAGAAGTCAAGATATGACAAACGATACTTGATAAAAGCCATTCAGAGTCCGAAATTTAGCGATAACCGATTATAATTTTCAATTCAGTGATGTTTTATATTGATTGTCAAAGTAAATGTGTATGATGGTCACAATTTTCATCTAGATATACAGTTACTTATGAGCTGAGCCTTAAAAGCTGCTGGACACTGCCATTTCAGAATTTTTCAATTACTGTCTTTAGCTAAGCAGATGTAAATGAAGTGTTGACCTCTCTACACAGTAATCATTATATTAAAAATCAGGAGTCTCGTATAAACAGCCACGCTTTTCCAAAAAGACAACTAACTGTTAGGAGTGGGTCGAAGTACCGGAATTAGGTAAACTCGTGAAATCTAAGAAGTGGTGTATGACGAGTATATTGAAATGAATATTTAATGATTTTTCTGGTACACCATCCTTGTGTGATCTTGTATATACAATCACATTTGCATTCACAAATATTGTTTATTTGTTTCAATATGAATATCCTTCCTTTGTGGCTATTTGGTAAGTACGTTACTTTTTGCGTTTGAAACAGAAAATTTATTCCTAACGTGATTTGAATTTGTCGAACTTGTACTGTGTCTTTACGCAATGAAAATACCATTTTTAATTCACATATTCCATCCTGAGCTTAATGTTTGGCAGTTTGCTTTTCTTGAGTTTTACCCAAGTTAATAGATGACTGTGGTTTTGCCTCAGATTACTATATGATTTTTCAGTTTTTAACCTTAAAGCTGGTTTTCATGTATTCACACTTTTCAGCACCCGTCTTTATCCATTTGCCCGTTTTGAGTGTGCCTTTTTGTTTTGTAGCCGTAAACGTTTCCTATAGGATCTGTTAAGAATTTTTGCGAGACTAATTTATGGATGAACCAACTAGATATAGCATAAGGAGTCTTGAATTTCGGCGCAAAGTTCACTCGTCTATTTGGCTAAATACGGTCTCGGCCTTATAACTGATGTCGGTTCGTGATGAAAACTCTAAAACTAATCCCTAACCTTAACCATCAACTGTAAATCATAATTCTAGTTCCTCGCTCTGGTTTTTAGGATGTATTTGGTTCTAGTTATTAGGTGGGTATTCTAAAGCTCAGTCTAGTCTTGCTCAAAGTTCGTCCATAAATTGTGGTTCCACCAAAATTTCACATCATAGTCTTGGATAATTCTTCCAAACGACCCGGATACCGATTTACTGTCACTTCTGGAATGCAGTGTGACAAATGCAAATGTTGGTTCCACGAAGCATGCACAGATCTTACAGTAACTACTTACAACAGACTTAATAACTCGGATCCTAGGTGGGTATGTGGTACGTGGAACATGAATGTTGTGGATTGGCTGAGCACCATCATCTTTCGCAATTGATTGATCACTGGGTGAGCAATGTCATGCGTGTCTAGTCCTTATTAGTGCGGATCGAACGCTATCGATCATGTTGCAATGTGGCCACCATTCTAGGTGACTCGACACTGCGGGCACTATTGTAAGATTAGATGGTGGTTGGAGGTAGTCGACAGGAAACCCTGGACTGGTGGCCACATTGCAACATGATCGATAGAATTCGATCTACACTAATAATAAGGACTAGACACGCATGACATTGGTCACCACCCAGTGATCAATCAATGGTGATTACATCTAAGTCCTACAGGTGGTCGGTCGCTGCCAGGATTGCTCAGTGGTAACGTCTCTGACTGAAGCTGGATGACACGGGATCAAATCCACCAGGGAGCACCAGTTCTCTCAAAGATTACAGGTACACCTTGCTGACGAGTGCCAAGTAGCACGAAATCCGTGTCCAGGGTTTCCTGTCGACTACCTCCAACCACCATCTTTCTTTTAATAGGTCTGTGGTAAAACTTATCAGTAGACCTGAAAAAAAGATAGTCCTAAGACGGTTCGGCAAACAAAGGCGCACGGTGAAGAAAAGGGACATCGACGACGCTAGTATAGACGGAACATGCGTCAACACCAGTGAGGAAATGCTGAAGCGTAGCACCATCATGCAATCGACGGCACTAGACCCCTCCTAGCAAAGTTACGTCTCCCAGCACAGGATCCCTAAATGCGACAGCGGTCCCCAAAAGCTCTGAAGGTGATTAGACTCCCGTAGACAAAGTTAAAAAGGGCCGTCTAAGAAGCAGAACATCCCAGGTGTTGTAGTGAAATCGAGTGGTGATCTTGCTATACAATCTACGCGTAATACTGTCCAGTCACTCAGTAAGGAATCTGAAACGCACTTCGATTACAAAACAAAAAAGTTTCATCATGAACGTATACGAAGACCTGGGAAAACAATCACGGTTCTCTCTCGTAATCATGAAGCTTGAAGACAGCTTTGACCTTCTCCTAAGTCTGCAGGACAAAAATGACAGGATGCTTTGGCAAAGAGTTAAAGAGGAAGCTCGAACTTCGCAATATGGAGCTTCTGACTGTCACACGGAGAAAAGACTCCAAAAGTCAAAATCACCCAAGGCTAATTCGGCGTAGCGCTCACTAATGCTGCCGACGTGGAGGATGTTTTACTGGCTAGTCACTCATTGAAATCAAGTGGGAATGTAAGAGTACTGCCTGATATACTGTATTCTGAGAGCAATCTCATCAGGTACATCCCTAAGGAATCTCGCGAGACGTTTTTTTCACGGAAGAAATATCATTACGCAAGGTGTGCCAGAAAACACGGACCATAGCCTCACAAACTTCGATATTCGGGAAAAGAAATTCATCAAGCAGTCCTTGAAGCTCAACAAGTGGTGAAGCTAGACAAGAAGGGAGGGGATTCTAGATTTCGGCTGACGAATATAACCTTTCTATCTTCCCTTGTGGTGGCTGAAACTATCGAAGCATTTCGTGCCAACAGATGCCGGTCGCCAACTGGGACCCATATGTATCAAGATAGGCCATATGGTGACAAGATCAGTCACAAAAGCAAACTGCAGCTGACTATTCCACTTGTGAACTGCTGAGACTGAAAAAAAACGTAGAAAGTACAGGGGCCACTTACTCAGAAAACCCTGTGTAGGTAAGTTTCCTGTCCATTCACATAAGGCTCATACAGCTGTATCCTAGCTGTTCACTGTATCCTATACTTATCTCAGATGAAGATGTCTTCATAATCCAGTCGATCACCAGGAAAAAGGGTCAGAGTAAGCAACCTTGCCTGACACCGGTCTTTACTTTGAACGAGTCTGTGAGCTGTCCTCCATGCACGACTTCGCAGTTTAATAATATAGATATATATGTATATATATTTATATGATATTCATACATAGATTATGTATACATATATGTATCCTGAGTCATGAGTTTACACATCAATTTTCCTGTATTGGTTTTTAAAGCCTACATCATTGCTTCATCTCCCAGAATAAAGTCCCTCATTCTTTTGTTTATAAACTCGTAAACTAGTAGTGGGTGTGTTATTATTATATTTACATCCAAAAGTGCGATTCATTCATCTGTAAAGATTATTCAGTAGACAATTTTTATTTACAATTCAGGCTTTTCAAAAAAATGTCACATAATTATCTGAGTGGGAAGCACGGGATATTGTGAACTTTACGCGAACTTCATGGGGCGTTACCCTAATTCTGATTGGTTAACCCAGGGCTGTCATTATGTTGTACTTTTACCATGTTGCTTTGTACCATTTTGTTATTTGCACACTGCCGTTTCAGTTTTAGTTATTATTATATCTTGTTTAAGCTCTCGTTGGAGTTCACTACGCGACCGACCGACTAAACTAATTACCCTTGCTATTGTTAAGATCTAGTAGTGACTTTATCACGGTCTTCAAATCGGTTAGTTATAATTCTTCACTTAAAATGCCATCATATCTCATGTCTTTCCGAAAAGAGAATCTAGAAGGACACTACGTGAAGATTCACAAGCCCGGAACCTAATACTTGTGGGGTGACTGCCAACTTTCCTATAGAAGCATCAAACGGTGGAACTCCCTAAAATCACACGATAAGGCTCCACACAGACTCATGTAGGAGAAATTCAGATTCGATAAGGGACCCCATCACTGGGACTTACATAACTCATCAATTGCTGTCTTTATCAAACTGAATAAAAATAGAGGAAATCAGACCACAGATTACTTATCACTAGGAATATATAATCCGAGTCGCTACAGAAACACCAATAGATTCAATCAAAGAACTCGAACTATTACCTAACATCAATAAATAAATCTGCAACATGTGTGGTACAGAACTGCACCTTTCTATTGTCAAAAGCGCTCCCTAACCACCCAAACACATCAATGAACAGATAGGTCGCCTATTCTGCCTAGCAAAGTTTGAGTTGGTTTATATTATCCAGTCAAGGTATTGAACATAATACCTTGTCTTGCATCACCTAGATTTCCAGCTCTTTAACAGATGACTGGTTATATTGACGTGAAAAGATTCTATTACAGAGCGACAAAGAGTGAATATATTGAAAGGGAAGAAATTCCTGAAAATACGAGACTATATAAAACCCATAACTTGTAAAGATGGTCTCTAGTTGTATTCTATTATTCCATTTTGGGATACAAACCCTTGCCTCCTGTCACTCCGAGTTCTCCCTTTGTGGCTGTTTAGTTGTGCTGCTCCAGATCATTGAAGGATTCACAGCGAACGACTGAAGGATGGAATATATTAGCGATGGTTAGGTGTAAAGAGTGCGATGTGTTAACGTAGTATTTCATCATCAACCAAATACGGCGTCCTATAAGAGTTTATATCGCCCCACCCATTTGTTGTCAAATAGCGTCTTCGTGCTATTATCAAGTTTACCAACTAACAGCCATTTCGAAGAGTTACTAAAGAACAGCCAGTATGTTTTCGGTCTATTTTTTGAAGAGATCAATCACCTTGGTTCGATGCACGGTTTTGCGTAGTATTCGGCTGACAAACTTACCGACATTCAACCCAAACTTAAAATATCTAATGTAACTAACATCCTTCATTTGATGAGTTCTTAAGTAGACATTTTTCATAAGTTAGTGCTGTTTGTCATGAATTGTTATAGTCACCTGCATAACAATCACCATCTAGGAGTCGGTGTTTTACCTCTGAATCTGTGTATTTATTAACTTGTCAGTCTTATAGAAATTCAAAGTATGGTTGATTGAATAATAAATTTCGCATTTCGTCACTCGAAATCGTGTCATGTATGACATTTAAGGCACAAAGGTGATTCAAAACTGCAGTGTAAAAGAACTAAGAGGTTGGTGATGAATGGAATAAAAGTATGATTTTGGGGTGGATTCATATTTTGCGACGTTCTATATTTATAATGGTTGATGATAAAGAGATTTCAAGCAAATGTTTGACAACTTTCCTATTCACTGATACCTCCTGAGACTGCTTGCTAGACAAGAGTACGGGGAAACAAGTGTCAAATGTTAACATTTCTTAATCATGAAACACTCTTTTAAATATATTTTGATTGCTATGTACAGTCGTATGTATTTTCACTTAAGGTTGTGCGCTCAAACGTTTGACATTTTTTGTAGACTTTTGAGGCCATCTAATGTCAAGTTTGCTAAAGGATTGCATTAAATACTTTCACACGAAGAACTTATATGAAGTCTTAGGAGTGACTAAGAAGTGTGACAAAACTGAACGTAAATATACAATATGGAATATGTCATCTTTTTGTAGTTCGTAAAGCTTTCTATAAATTGTCTTTACTTCATCATCCTGATCGCCATGACAGTGACTCAAAGTCAGAGGCGACAAAACGTTTTCAAGTACTGTCTAGAGTCTATTCGTACATTGAAGATGATGAGAAACGTAAAGTCTATAATGAGACAGGTTGGTTCTCGATTAACAAAAATGGGATAATCTTAACTTTTAGGTGTTATCGATGAAGACGATGAGATTACAGGCAAATCGTATGATGATTGGGTTAAATACTGGCAACTTTTGTTCCCTAAAATCACAACTGAACTAATAGATGACTACTGTAAAAAGTATAAAGGAAGTGAACAGGAAACGGAAGATTTGATCAAGATCTACAATCGTTCTAAAGGTGATATGGATATTATAATGGAGTCTTTAATGCTCACGTCATATCGAGATGAAAGTCGAGTTCGCGGTCTTATTGACAAATTAATATCCAGTGGTAAAATTGATGCATATACAAAGTACACACATGAAAGACCTGAGAAAGCAAGGAGAAGAGCTAAGCGAGCGCTAGAGGAAGAAAAGTTGTTTGCAAAGGAACAGAACAAGAAAAACAAAAAGCAGATAGTTGATGTTAACGAAGGAGATTTGGATACATTAGCTAAGGCAATTCAAGCACGACATGAAAATGCATTAAAATCATCAGAAAACTTTCTGGATAAGATTGCACAGAAATATAGTTCAAAGCAACAGTCGCCAGCTAGGAAAAAGCCTACTAAGGCTTCAAAAACTTTGAAGAAAAAGAAATAATTACCAGATTGATCTTAAAAAGTGTATTTTTTTATTCGAAATATTGAAAAATAACAGATACGTAGAAAGCACAATTTCACGACTGTTTCTGACTTTCTACTCTCTGTGGAATGAGACAAAAAACAAAACGGGTAACAAAATGTTATAGCATTTTAGTGTAAAATAAGGTAAATATCTTTTAAAAGACATTTCCACAGAATTTTTATTAATTTGTTGTTAGAATGAGAACATTGTTATTACAACTTTGGACTATTCGATTACTTCGCATATCATACGATACAGTCCTAATTCGCTATAGGTATGTTGTCAACTTGGTTCTTCCAAATGAAAGGAAAAAGGATGTGATCACTATTGGGCAACTTCATATAGTTGACACTATACTATAAATATGACTTTTGTACTTCGGATCATTTGTTCACAAGTAGTTAGTGGTGGACAACCTCACGCGTGACATTACTAGTTTCCAAATAAAATCCATATAACAACACCGCGTACATAATGCATCCTACTTACTACATAGTGGTTAGACGTAATAACTTTCCGTTACAAAGGTATGACTATGAGGAAATTACTACTTGTTTGCTACAAAACACGCCCTGATCCGGAAGAATTGAAGCAGACGAATCAGGTGATAGAATAGTCTTCCTCTCTCTGCCCAAGGCCTTTAGTCCCAATTCAGACCCACGCATTTCTAACCTCAAGGTTAAAACAGTTAAGACCTTAACCTAGGTCGAGACAAGTTCTCCCCTGTATATCACTGCGTAGACAAATCAAGGACGTAAAACAACTTTAAACTTGTTATATCCTGATACCTTTTAAGAAAATAGAGACGTCTGGAACTAGTGTGGAAATGATGGATAAATGAAAGGAATGTTAGAAATGCAGTGATAATGAAACATAACCTTTTAGAGAGGTTACCAGTAGTAGTTAGTGATATTTCTGGTTTCAGTAATAAGGGATGTCATTATCAATAACAAAGATTTACGTTTGCGCTATTTATATGAAAAACAATAGATCAGTAACTGTATGTTTCCGGACTTACAGCTTGAATGAAATCCATCACCTTAACGGGATCAGATCCTGAAGCAATATCGATCAAATCGATTGGCACACTGTATTGATTCACTGAATTTGGACGGATATTTTGGTCACTTTGGTAGCGAAATAACGGAATGGTATCCTATCAACAAAATACGGATGATAATGAAGTGATTTTTCATTAAATGTAGCACTCCACATCAATATGGTGGTTTGTTGATAGCACCCCTCTAGCGTTATTCATCTGTAAAAGCTGTGATAAGTCGAAAATTTGCCTGATGTTTCCAGGTTTACTACTATCGACCTTTTTTGGGTGCTGGATAATTAAGAAAGCCATTATTTAGAAAAGAATTTTCAATCAAGAGGATGCTCTGATGATAATCACAAGATTTCTATCCTTTTTTATGGATCGAAAGTGCCAACAATCAAGCTAGTCTGACGAGATAGCTGTAAGCATTTAGACTATACTTAGTATCTCAGTTAATCCCAATGATTGTTTTAGACACATATCCTTAAGAACACCTTAAATAACCCACCAGGTTTTGGTGCCACCCAACGTCTTAGTTTGCTTATGTCACTCATGATATTTTAGGGTTGGGAGATTAATGACAGTCTTCTATTTAGGTTTGTAGTCACTAGCAGGCAACTGGAGGGTTGCTGTAGAACAGTACCTCAAGGCTTCCCTCTTATCATTCCAGTCGCCTATTTCGAACTACTATACCGGCTTTTTTCTAGGTAGTTCCACTAACAGTTGACACGCTGATATCGTTTTTTTTGAGAAATAAACTGTTTAGTGCTACACTTACTAATGCTCACTACTGTTTATAATTAGTACAGTTAATGAGTCCCTTATGTTATGCCAAAGCATTTACTTAATTTGGCACTCCATTGTAATAGTATATATGTGTATTAAATAAAACGAAAAAATGCTTTCGCGTTCTTACTTTCCCGTTTATTTAATAAGCATACAAGTAGTTGTCATCTAGAATTAAATTTAGGAGTGGCTGTTACGTTTTCACAATTAATGCTATATTTACAACTGGAAGATCGTCAAACGTCACTGACGAGTCTCCTGGTAGGCAAAGGACGGATCGTATGAATAGCCCACATCTTTTCGTTAGGGTCACTTAGGTTCTGTATATGGGATTTAGAGAAATGATACATCAACGACACAAGGTTCTCAGGTCTCAGTTAGTGAGTGCTATCCAGTCTGACAAAGAGTGGGCTTGCACTGGTTGTGCATGGGAAGGGAGATGAAGTAAGAGCAAGCTCAATATAAAATGGATTGAATTTCAAAGTCCACTGAAATGGTCTTAGGCTGCGACTTTTTGGTTTAATATGATGTCACTCATTTAACAAGTACAGATTCGTGTATTCGGCTTGAGCTACACAACTACGCTGTCATATAAACCAAAGTATACTATCAAATTAGCGTTAATTAAACTCACATTTTCATGTACATCATTTTCCAATTCTGACCACTGAAATAAAAGTGCTTCAGTTGGTGGACCAAATACATTGAAATCAATTATTTGAATGCGCATTTTACCATCGTCCTATACATAAGTCAAAAAGAAGAGAACAACACTAGAAAAAAAAATCACTTACCGATGATTCTCTGTATAAGTCAATTGTATCTAGATTAATAAATGAATTAAAACAATTTTTTTAAAACAAAACTAAAATTTACAATTTTCCGATTTAAAACGATTTCTTATTTTTCGATTAAAGAATTCCACAAGGTCGTGTTTGATGTTTTCTATCTGTTCTTCAATTGTTTTGAAGTAGACATCACATTTTCGTTGGGAAATTGCTTGAGGATTAAAAATAAAAACATAGTAAGAGAAAAATTGAAATACTATATCATCATGCTCACAATAAGAAATGTTTGCGCCATATTGTGGACTGACATGTACACCGCTGGGATCAGTAGTCTAGAGGTTCAGCGTTCGCGCGTCCTAAGTTATAGGCGACTTAGTTTGTATTTTTGTTTCGAACTGACATTTCAGTTGGTAAAAAATTTGTCATGCTGAATACTAAGAAATGCAGCATGTTGCATGGAACGATATTAAGTAGGGGGCAGTTTGAAACAAAGAACCATGAAACAGTTGTCTTATAGTATGATGGAGTTCTTAAGCAGTGCTCATCAAAGAACTAATATATATATCCTTTTTATCATAAGCTTTTATTTCACCTATTAGCTACTGTTATACGATTTACCATTCTTAACTTATTCCCAATTTATTAGTTACAGTGTCACATACAACCACTTTTTGCTTGATCTTGTATAGTTATTATTCTTCATTTTATGGTGTGATGCGGTCTCATCTGCGGGTATATAAACCACGTATGTCTGAAATATATGATTCATACAGTGGAGGCTTTTATATGTGCTCTGGACTGAAAGAGCTGGGCTAGGCGAAAAATTACTACACAGAGGACCAATAAGGACTCAGAGTTGAATCAAGACTGCTCGTGCTAGTTAACGCATCATTGGTTTAACATAGGGTCAAGGTCACATAAGTCGGTATTTGGGTTGGGAATTTTGTCACGTGACATTTTGATGGGTCATAGCAAATAACAAGATGTAAACGTTAAATAGGGAATGCTTTAATCGGACTCGTAGTCTTATTATTATTATTACAAGGAGGCACCAAATACATATGCGCCACACAAATCTCAATTGATACGTGTGAGGGCTGTGATATTGCCCGGGTGCCCAAACCGAAGCAGGTACTCGTAGTCTTAAGATATCTGAATCCCACACCACTGAGTTGAAGTCTTCAAAAAGTGACTGCTAAGGGGATTAGGAACATTAAGAACTCCGGAGCTCATTTACAACACTGATTTCAAATAAGTTTTCTAATTCCTCGAAGAGATTTCTGCATACCTGCCAACTAAGGCCATGTACTCAAGGCTATATGACAAAGCCTTGAGAAGTTAAAGGCTCTCCTTTATGCTCTTGAATGCATCAGAATAATTCAGGATGGTAAATGCACAAAAGTAACAAATTTACTTGCCAAATATAACGACTGGTTTATTGTACCACAAACTTCAAACTCGACAATACTAATTTGTATATTGAGGATAATAATACAGTATAAGACACTTAGTATCAAAGGCATTTTGTTGTCGATAAAAACTTGTCCCATCTGCTGTTGATTTGTATAAAACATATGTGGTCCATTATCTCGTATATTACTGAGCCGCATTGATTTCTAGGATTATGGTGTATGTTGACTAACATAAAAGTCTAGTTCGGATCTTTACGACTCCTACAGCATGTATGACAACTTAAATCTCATATAAAATAATAGGACAAACAACACACAAGGACGTAACACTACGATTAACTTACCAATAAGGACTTTTGATTTGATAAAACATCGGAATTCTTCCTCAGGGCGAAAGTCATACCACCTTCGTAGAACAAGAATCGGTTTGGAATTGAAAAGACAGCAATTTTTTTCTGCTGGAGTATCTGTACACAGAGCGAAACTAAAGGAACGAAAAATATCGGTCGTTATGTTTGTAGAAATATACACATTACGGAGCAGTCAAGTCATGTGCTGCGAAATCTGAAGATTTAAGGAGTAGGTAAATGTCGGAGAACGTTTTGCACTTTAGTGACCCATCGAAAGACATCCAAGATGCATCCTATAGCAATTAAATATGTTAAAATACAACACTTACAGATGGGGCGCTCCAATTTAACTTGGGGAATACAACACCGCCTAACTTCCGGATGATACTTTTCAACTGAGATTCGAACTGAGGAAATTCCGGTCTCTTAACGCAATATTTTTCAAATTTTGTTGTGCTGATAATTACCTCTTTGCTTTTTTCATCAGTATCGGAACAGTCTGACCAAATGCCCTGAAATTATAACAATTAAAACATTTTTTAAGAATATGAGACGATAAGTAAAACACTACAAAGGTATCGATACCAACGTATTTCTTGGTCTTCCTCTTTTCCGTTTCCCTACAGGATTACAAGTTAGTGCTTGCTTCGTGATTCAATCTGATGATTTCCGCAAAGTATATCTACCTTCAATGTCTTTCCCTAATTTCTTCGTCGGGTGGAAGCTGGTTTGTTCTCTTCCACAGTGGGTTGTTGCTGATGGTATTTGGTCAACAGTTGTTTTGGCCCCCAAATGCCCTGGTACGGCCGAGAGTGGGGAGAGTCCGCTCTCCCTCTCGAAATGCTCTCACATGGCGTATATAGCCTCTGCCAGGGAAGTCCTACTCACTGCCTTCTCGTGGCGGAGGTGTTGTTTACAAAAATGAGAGGACGAAAAGCGAATGTCCGGCTCTTTAACCGGATCCCAAACCAATGGTGCACATGGGCTCCAGTATCCTGAAGGAACAAATGGCGTATGAACCAATCGTTGGTCACCGGCTACCATGGGACTGCATCTCCTTACGATGCTCCACTGCCTTGTGGGTCAGACGTCCAGGTCGAAGGCTCGGGATGTGGTCCCCTAAGAAAACCACCTGCTTCGGTTTGGGCACCCGGGCAGTATCACAGCCCTCACACGTATCAATTGAGATTTGTGTGGCGCATATGTATTTGGTGCCTCCCTGTACCTATACTTATGTGTTAAAATAAATAAATAAATAAAACAGTTGTTTTGAGTTCCATATGTCCTTCAATTGTAAAATTTCTGCCCTTTACGTCTGCATTAGATCCTCCTTAATCATCGACGATGCTACTCAGGTACGTGAATGTTTCCAACTGTTCCAGAGTTTCTCTATCAAGTGTGACTGGATTGGCGTTCTCCGTGTTGAATTTGAGGATCTTGCTTTTCTCCTTGTGTATCTTGAGGCCTACTGATGCAGAGGCTGTTGCTACACATCCACATTTTTTTCATGTGTATGAGATTGAAGGGTTAGGTCATCTGCGAAGTTCAAATATTCTAATCGATTCTGAGCTGTCCATTGTATTCTGCGTTTCCTCCCAGATATCGGGGTCTTCATAATCCAGTCGACCACCAGAAGAAAGAGAAAGGGGTAAAGTAAGCAGTATTGTCTGACTCCGATCCCTATCGGGAATGCATTTGTCAGCTTTCCTCCATGCATGACTTTGCACTGCAGTCCGTCGAATGAATTCCGGATGATGTTAACGATTTTCTCAGGAACTACGTAGTGTTGAAGAAGGTTTCATAATGTTCTCCTATCTGCACTATCAAATGCTTTCTCATAATCAAAGAAGTTGATGCATAGTGCCGAGCTTCATTTAACTGGTTGTTCAACAATGCTCCGTAGTATTGCGATTTAGTCTGTGCACGACCAACCCTCACGGAATCCTGTTTGTTGATCTCGAAGTTGGGCGTCTACTGAGTCTTTTATCCGGTTCAGTAACACTTTGTTGAAAGCTTTTCCTGGTATCGATGTTAGTATGATGCCTCTATAGTCTCCACATATTGTCAGATCTCCTTTCTTTGAGATTTTGATGATATATCCTTTCTTCCGGTCCATCGGCACTTGTTCTTCCTCCCAGATCCTTCTGGATAGAAAATGGAGCATGTTTGCAGTTACATCTATGTCTGACTTCAGTGCTTCAGCTGGTTCGTTGTCTGACCCTACTGTTTCTCACTTCTAATTTGTCTGATGACCGTTCTGATTTCTTCCATCTTTCTTGGAGTGACATCTATAAGAAGGTCTAAGTGTGCTGATTCGATATCCGGCGGATTCAATGGAGCTGGTCGATTTAAGAATTCCTCAAAGTATTCTACGCATATGTTCCTCTGTTCTTGAATCTCTGTGATTGCCTTGCCTTCTTTGTCCTTGACTGGTCTCTCTGGTTCATTATATTTCCCTGCTAGCTTCTGCGTCAATAGATGTAGTTGTCTCATATTTCCTTATCTTACAGCTTTTCCACTGTTGTTGCTAGCTCTTCCATGTATTTCTGCTTGTCAGTCTTAATGTTCTTCTCAACTTGATTGTTTGCTTTAGTGTACTCAGCTTGTCACTTGACTTTTTCTGTTCTAGATCGCTATCTTCTTGTTCTCCCTTTCTTCAATGTTGCCCCGGGTTTCCATAGAGATGCATTCATTGTGACGACGCTTCTTGCGGTCGATTATCTCCTAGCACGACAGAGGTAATGCTTCTTTGATGCCTTTCCAGTTATCCTCCATAGTAGTTTCTTCTTCTTTCAGTAGACCCTGTAAGGCTTGGAACCTGTTGTTGGGAGTTGACTTGGATTCGTTGAGTTTGTCGAAGGAAGGCTGTATTGAACCTTTGTAATGCTGTTCGATCAGTTTTCCAATGCTTCTTTAGCCTCAGTTTCATCTTGGTAACCACCAGGTGATGATCTGAAGCTATGTCAGTTCCTTTCTTGGTTTTCACGTCTTCCATTGACCTTGTGAATGTTTTACTAGTGAAAATATGATCGATCTGGTTCTCCGTGGTATGGTCTGGAGAGACCCATGTGGCTTTGTGTATGCGTTTGAGGGAGAATATTGTGCCACCTATAACCATTTTGTTGAGTGTTCATAAATTTGCAAATCTCTCACCATTTTCGTTCCTTTTTCCCAGTCCATTTCGTCGTAAGATATCTTCTTACCCGATGTTATCCATTCAAACTTTGACGTTTAAGTCTCACATCAGGATTGTCAGGTCTTTTCCTGAGCACTCCGATTACAGCCTTTTATAGAACTGACCTTCATTGTCTTCATTACTATCATTGGTGCGTGCATAACACTAGATAAGATTCATTGGGATTTCTTTCTTTCTTCTTGTTTTGAATGATGCTTTGATGATCCTGGACCCACGAGACTACTATCCTGTAAGTGCATTTCGTGTATCTTTGGACAGCATCAGAGCAACTCCCTGAGTGTGCAGAGCATCTTCTTCTTCGTGACCAGAGTACAGCAGCATCTCTTCCGTACCCAACCTTTGCTGTCCAATAAGTTTCGCTGATTACGAGTACTGCTACGTTGTATCTCCTCATTTCCGTTGATATTTGACTAGTCCTTCCGGTCTCCCACATTGTTCGGACATTCCATGTACCTATATTAATTGTTGCTCTGATTGTTAGAAGGAGCGACGACCTCGTAACTTTGGAAGAATTTCGGATTTTATAGTGAGGCGTCATAATTCTTTCTTCGACTCCCAGGTCAGAGTTTAAGTGATTTGATTTGTTTCTTCTGGTTAGCGTTTTTTAGCAAGGTTTTTTCTACGGGATAGGGTTTCCGACCCCATGCTCAACCCTACTCCTTTATCAGAGTTTGGGATCGACAGCTATATTCCAGTGAGTAGAATAACCGTATTTCCGACGTTTTGTGATTTAATATAAGAAACTTCCTCAGAGTAAATAAATAAATGAATTGAATAAACAAGTTTAAATGGTCATGAATGCGTACTGAGGGCAGGAAACTGAGTATTAAATTACTGTTATGCATTAAACAATCATGTATCACATATGGAGTTCGATGTAACAAATTGCTGACCGAAAACCACGCAGTAAACGATTGCACAGACATCCAAAACTAGATATAGCATATCGTAACACAACTTTATATAATGATTCATCCTGACTAAAACTAAGTAAAATATCATATTTAATCGTAAAGATGAGGTTCAGTCGTTTATCGACTCGGATCTTAAGCATTCAACGTGGATTAAAACCCACTTCGTCTGATTTATTTATGCTAACCGAATAATATTTTGGCCCCGGTGTGGCGCATATATATTTGGTGCCCCCCTGTACCAATATTTATGTGTTCAAATAAATAAAACAAATAATTTTGGCCCCGAACAACATATGAGAAGTAAAGCTTGGTGACTGGGCTACTATGCATTTTATAAGTAGTATGAAAAGACGTTTTTGTAACTTACATCATTGTCTAGGTCCGACAGACTTCCGTTTGTTGGTTTTGCACTAAAAACATACATTCAAAGAGACAGAATATTTTTAGCTTGTAACAAAAACGCGCTAAGCTTGGCATTTTAAATAAATTAAACATTACTGTTTGGTAAATGGAAAGTACAACAACCTAAATTTAAAGAATTTTTTTTTTATTTTAACACATAAGTATAGGTACAGGGAGGCACCAAATACATATGCGCCACACAAATCTCAATTGATTTGTGTGAGGGCTGTGATACTGCCCGGGTGCCCAAACCGAAGCAGGTGGTTTTCTTAGGGGGCCACACCCCGAGCCTTTGACCTGAACGTCTGACCCACAAGGCAGTGGAGCATCGTGAGGAGATGCAGTCCCATGGTAGCCGGTGACCAACGATTGGTTCATACGCCATTTGTTCCTTCAGGATACTGGAGCCCATGTACACCATTGGTTTAAATTTAAAGAATAAAGAGCAGCAACTTTACTTTCTACACAGAATTTACTAGAACTATGAAAAGTGTATATACAACATAACAATAAATCTCACTTAATAGAAATAATAATAATAATAATATAGTATTATTGTATTTGTTTTATGCTATATTGTCTTCATTTTTTCTTCGCCTACCATCCTCATGTCGCAAAATACTATGTAATGGTATCTAGTACCTTCTGTTATATTTAGTCATTTATTGGAAATTAGATATCGTAATACATTACACTTGATTATCACAGTGAACTGTTAATCCGATTTACGTGTATGATCATTTGTATGTCTTAGTTCGTTTGCCTAAGTTGTAGTAGCACACGAGCGCGCCAAACAGATAAGTGCCTAACATAAAAGGAATTAGGTATGTTTAAAAAATAAACAAAATGTATAATACGACACACAAGAGGGAGTGATTTGGTAACTAATTTTTTCGAGTAGTCTGTCGCATTTTTCCATGTTATTTTTTGTATATAAGCGAGTCATTTTATTGCAGAAAATATCTATTCTTCCAGCTAGTAGTTTTGCATTTGCTTTCAAATTATTCGTGGGACCTCACAAAAAAGACAGACAAATGAAGAATGAATTTAGAAAGGTGGAAGAAATGTAACAGTTATGGTTAGCTGATTAGTTTTAGTTTAACCACATAATTAATTGGGTATGTAGAGAGGAAATAAGAGAATGAATCAAAACTACCTAATTTCCAATATGTATATGGCAATTACCTTTTAGGGAGAATGAATTCATCATTTGTCAACGAAGCTATAAGGTCATCTGGGAGATTTATAAATATACTGTAAGAGAATTTATCAGTGAGATCATTTACATAGTGTACCTTTCTTGAGTATACGATTCAAAAGTGTGATACCATGAATTAAAAGCGCACTGTTCAACATCTGCTATTTTCATTAAAAAACCTGAACAAAAAACATCAACTGTATTGAGATACCATACAGAATGAAAATAAAACTGGTCAACGAGAACTCACCAATTTTCACGAAATTTACCTGTAGATGCAGTCCGATAGGCCTGAGATAATCACACGTATAGAACGTAAGGTAAAATCAATCCCAAATGACCTGGTATGGTCGAAGGTGAGGAGACTCCACCATCCCCCTTGGAATGCTCTCACGTGGCAACGCGTATACAGTCAGTGTCAGGGAAGTTCCACTCACTATCTTCTCACTGTGGGGGATGTTATTTATGAAATTGAGAGGACGAAAAGCGAATGTCCGGCGTTTTAACCGGGTTAATGGATATGGAGGATCTATCTAGGGGAGTTGGGAAACCCTGATTCCGAACCAACGGTGCGCATGGGTCCCACGATCCTTAGGGAAAAGTTGAGTGTGAGCCTATAGCTGACCGACGGCTACCATGGGACTGCATCTTTTGACGTTGCTCCACTACCTTATGGATTAGACCTCTAGGTCAGAGGCTCGGGAAGTGGCCCTCTAAGAGGACCATCTACTTCGATTCGGGCGGCCGGGAAGTATTCCAGCCCTCACACAAATCGAATGATTTATGTGGCGGATATCTATTTGGTACCTTTTCTACCTATGTTTGTGTTTAGATAAAATAAATAAACAATCAGTTTACAACAAACCAGGTGTTAAGTACATGTTGAATCGTGGTAAATTTTAGCTAGACGATAGTAAAGGTCACTGGGTTAGCACAGCTACTACGAAAACACTAAGTGTTTAGAAATCTATTTCAGTCAAGTCTGAACAAGATTAATGAAGAGGGGTAACGGGCATTATCATAAGGCCTAGGAAGTAATCATGAGTATCATTAGGGGTACACGCATAGGCTATAAGTAATACTGGGATAAGATTGAAAAAAAGGTCACTAGTGGGAGGAACTTGGAGAATAAAGAATCACTGACCCACTCTCAGATAAAGCCACTACAACAGTAAAAAGTATGTCGACTGAAAACCCAACTATTGCTTATTTGTTCTTTAACCACTGACAGAACAAATGGGTGGTTGCCATTAGTCAATTTAGTGAGTCTACAAATGATCCAAAATGACAAGAGCAGTACACCTAGGTGGTTGAACTTTAGATGACTTTGAGGATAGTAGAATAAAACTATAATGGATGGAAGACCTTTGAGAGACGCTAAAGTGACCTTAAGACGAATCACCTTAGTGAGGTCAAAAAGGGGTTATAAATTAGTATGAGTAATTGGGATTATAGTTTAAAGTTAGAATTTAAGGGTTGAGAATTAAAGTAAGAGTTTTCATTACAAATCGACAACAGCTATAATACTGTGCTGCTATTTGCATATAAGTATAGATAAATTTGGCGTCGAAATCTGTTGTATTTGCGTCGCTTATTACTTATACTTGGAAAAACAACGATAAGCCACTGCGATTCCCACGATGTGAAGTAAAAACACCGAGACTGGTACAAGTGAAAATTCATTGACCCCAAAACACGATGACAAACCTAGTCAAAAATACACTAATTATATATTGATCATACACCTATTTTGTTTATTAATTAGAATAAAACTACACATGAAAAATACCAAGCGTTATAACAAATCATACGCTGCATGTCATGCGGATTGTAGTTCACGAGGATATCGTACTTCAAATAGACATAAGTTATTTATTTACTCTCCCGACCGCAGTTGCTAGCTTGAAGTGGTGGTCGGGCTTGCCTATCGTGATAACCCGACCGAGCTATATTGGATGGAACATATGTTCCTGTATGTTCTACCATGCCAGGCAGGTTGAATGGGGGACGTTAAGCAGCAAATTAAGGTCTGAAGGCGAAGTCGTACTGCTAACTGTAGAGGGGTGTGAGAGCAGTAAGGTGTTTTCCTTAGACAACCAGCATCTGCAGCGATGCTGCCTTCTTACAAGTAAGGAAGGAATTGGAAAAGGTCGACCCTAAAAATATCATGCCTCACTTTACTCCACGGATTTCCGTCTCCGGAGGTAAGGCCCTTTGAAGAATGGAGCTAACACGTTAAAAACCTCTCGCAAAAAGCCTTTGCGTGACAGGCCTCAGGCAGTTGTCCCTTGGGCTCTACGTGAAGACCAACACTAATCCAACTTCATTCTAAGGCTCTTCAAAAATACCCTTCCACGGTGTGGGCCGCCGGGAAGTGATATCAGCTATTTAGGTTGACTGAAGATCGTGGGAAACCAATGTGTGGCTGAAGGCCAGCTGAACTAATCCCTAAAGTGTTCTGCCCATCGATCCAATCTCCTGGATTGAGAATGAATCATATGTCTACCTTTCTCGGAGATAGTTTCGCTAACAGTTGGGTTCCTAATACTGGTTTCTTTAATAAGTCTGAACAGTTGTCTGCTGTTACCTATTGCTGCTGCCTTTTCCATCTCTCTTGCTTTCGCTACCCACCACTGTTCACAATCATTGCGTAGGCTGCTAGTCAGCTTACACTTAAGCTGACTCTGCTCTCCGTTATGTCCAGAGTCAGATGGAATGAGTTTTTGAGCATCTATCAGTGAGGTAGATGCTGCTGAGATCCAATATTTTCCTCTGACATTAGGTTTACCTTACTAGTAGATATCACTGCTGTTTCCACAGCTTTTCGGATATCATTCCACGCTGCCTCGGGGTGGGCAACATTAACATGGCTGCGGGATTTGGATCGACAACTGCATCTCTGTGCTAATGTGGTACGGCAGTTCTACGTTGTTACTGACTGACTTATTTACTCTGAAGAAGCGGCTTACATAAGTCAAGGAACGTTGGAAATACAATTTTCCACTCATTGAGACATAACAAGAAAATTGTTATTAAACAGTACACCCAAATGAATTATTGTTATAACGAATAGAATATCACAATAGAGAGGAAATATTACTCTGAATAGTCATCATATTGTATTAAAAAAAGTAATGTTCACCGAAAACCACGAGTCAAAATCCGATTTCGCTTTTTTATCCCGCCGTATGAAAATTCAAGACTTCCTCTTTTTGATTTTGTTGATCTGTCCATCAGATGTAGTCTCTTCAGATGGTAGTCTGGATATGTTATTCAGATAAACCGAAATATCTAGCCTTTGCATATAGGTTTCATTCAAGCAGATGTGCCTTGTCAGGACTATTAATTTTACCTGCTGCTATCTTATAGATATGACTTGAAAAGGAACACGTCATATGGATGTTCCAATACATCTTTCACTTGTAGACTCATTGATTTCGAAGGTTTGTCTTGAGACAGAGCCACTCCCAATCTCCAGATTTTGAAGCTTTCCCCAAAGTTTGGGAAAGTCCCCGAAATTCCCTTTAAAATAGAGGGATTACTCTCTGATCCCTGACTTAAAAGCTCAAAAATTATGCTAAAATATTTTACGCAGCTTTAGAAAACAAGTGGGAGTATATCTGCAGGGGACCGTTATCTTAGCCACTGAGCATCAAACAGACGGCATACGGTTATTCACTACCCGAAACTACTTAAAACAATGTGATGCCAAACTTTAGTTTTGATTCTCCGACTGTCTTAACCTTACGTTTGTGTTATTGCCGATTCATGTAGATTGTTTTCATGTTGCTTTCCATCTTAAATTAACTTGGATGTACTGCTTCTCATGTTCCCTAAGCACATAAGATACCTTTAGGTTAGACGCAAGATAACCAACAACTGAATACTGCTTCACTTACTCTGACCTTGAATAGTCGAAAATAATCACTTCAGTCTTATATCCAATGTCTCCAAAATTCAATATCTCTGTCACGGGCTTGTATAAACTCATCGATTCCTTTGAGCTATTATCTTATCATTTCATCACGTTTTCAGGTATTTGGCAATTTCGAATTGGTGATAGTCCAGTCACCTGACCGCACAAATTCTAGTCAATTTAATA